CACATTTGTAGGTATCCTAGCTTCTTACCTATTACATGCGGACGAGCTATCTGTACAGAATTGCCATCTCTGGAAGTTGTTAATAATTTATTAATTGATCGCAACTAATAAATCATGAGCCGTTACAATAAAATAAATTAAGATTTATTTAACAATTTTATTTACAGCCTTAAATGAGCTCATTAATTGAAAACAATGTTATTTCTCTATTATAAAAGAATGATATTTCTTGAACATGCCAAATTCTGAGTTCGTGGCTGTATTCGCACGCAAGGACTTTTCGGCTGCACTCCCGTTGGAACGACCGTCATATCTTCTTTCTTGACGTCGTATATTTGGTGTTATATTACTGTCTTACCTACCTTATTCTATTCCAAAGTCAAATTCTGGTTAAAAGTGTCTCTCGGGAAAATGTTAGTTCGTTATCGGTTCACGCGTCTACCAACTTTCCCTATTCTGTTGCACATATGGGCACCATTTCGCGACTATCTATGTTCAACACATTGTTGAATACCAGAAACGTCTTCGAATCTTCCCTATTCTAAATTTCGTTCCGACTACAAAATCTATTTCAAATTTTAATTGACATTTAAAAATACTCTTAACATACATCCATTACTAATATTCAAACTCAGAAAATATCGGACCTAATTCCGTATTACACATTTCCTTCTGACTTGGTTATTTACCCGTCGCCTTGGCAACCTGTATTTATCTCTTTTCTGTATGCATTCTGTATGCGTAAATTACATGTACCTGTCAACGTTCTGACCGGAAATTTAAGCAAGGTTGGCCGCTTACCAATAGGTCTGATGTTTTAGGTGGCATTGGTTCAAACAATTTTCATATTGTAACACATTTTCCTACAAATACCCATAATTATTTTTAAGAAATACGCAATACGCAAATATTTCAAAAATATTTTTGGGTTGTCCGAATTGAATTTGTCCCCCCCACACACACATACACACACACCTCCAAAATACTTACTGGATCCTTCTTTGTGTAATTACAGAGGGTGAATCTATTCATAAGAAAATACATTGGAAATCTAGTTGTTGGTATTACTCGCGCAACTTTTCTTGAACGATGACCTTGCTGCCCCCTTCTCTGGCACAATAAACAGATGAAGGCAAAAGCTGGCAGCGAGCACTCATGACAACATTCCCAGCACATCTTCCCTGGCGTGAAATAGAAACAATTTTCTTTTGAAGGCAATAACTTCTATCCGTTATTGTCTCCAAAAAATGTAAATAAATGACCGAAGCAGGTAAAGATATATCACAGGAGATACCTCGAACTCCTGAGACAGTTAGAACGCAAATTATTGAAAACGCGAAGGCAAGACTGATTTGCCAGAGATTGGCATTGCTTCATAAAATCTAGTGGCCGATTTCGTAACGAATACCCCCACTCTACCTGCATTTCTTCAATCCATTGTTCAAGAAAAGTTGCGCGAGTAATATATGACTTTGCATGCGATATGAAATGTCTTTCGGTGAATTCACTTCAGTTGTTTCGGTGCCTTGGCTACTCATCGCCTGCTGTGAGCTTCACCTGGCCCGTGTGCAATATCGCCCCGGCTGTTTGCTCCGCCAGCGCTCCGCATCAGATAGTCTTTGTGAGGCCCCGCCCGGGTAGAGCTGGCGCTTATCCGATGGCTGCAACCGGCGCACGTGTGTGCACAAGGTTGAGGGAGAGCTGCAGCTCTTCAGATCTTGTACATCCCAGATAATTTTATGTTAGAGAATATGGTTGAATGAAATGAAAGCATAATAAAATGCAGTATGCATAATTTACAAACCAGTACGCAGTAGTACAAATTTTATTATTTCGTTCATTTCATTTATGCCTTGTTTGTTTATACCTCAACACACACACAATGACGATTCTTCTTCTCTCTCTATTAACATAGTAAAACTGTACTAAGCAAGATTGAATCTATGTTAGTTATTGTTATATTAGATTATCTTGTTTTCTTCTTCTAAAGGTTTATTATGCTCAGGTCCTTACTAGAAACTTGGTGGTACGAGACAACAGGAGTAGGGTTCCTTGTTGATTGTTATTTCCGAATTGACCTATTTTTACTTGTTATGATTGAACAATTTCTTAGTATTTAATGTAGGTCTAAACAATTTAATCGAAATTATTTTTTATAAATGTCTGGATGGGCGCTATAGTATTTTTTATCCTGAATAATTCAGAATAAATTGAACAGTGAAAGTAAACATTTCCGTTGTGGAATTTTTAAAAATAAATGTCCCATATAAAAATCGATAATTTCCCTTCCTTTATGGCTCTATGGGTGCGACATCAGTTGAACCAGTTGCCGCTTGTTGCCCCAGTGGTAGTTAGAGCCCAGAATTTGCGCTTCAAGAGTTAACAAACGACAATTTCGCACATACACAGCTGATCCTTCATTTATAAACTGTTCTAAAATAATTCCTTATTGTAGTTCATGGCGTCAAGTTGTCACATTCACATAGTCTGATGCTGTGCAAACACTAGCATCTGTTGACACAAAAATCAAAAATGTACTGGGAGAGGGTCACTAAGGGCATCAACTGATGTCACTGCAGTGCCTATGAACAGATGATTTAGGGCCAAGGTCTAGGGTTCAAATCCCGATGGTGGCAGGATTTTCGACCCTAACTACATAGCTTTTTGTGAAAATTTTGAAAACGACCCACAGGGTTCGTGTAATGTAACCTCAAATTTTAAAGAATGTTTCTCTACATTCTAAAGTTTCAACGACAGGGGTTTCTTCGATTTGAAAAAGCTCCTATGCGTGGTTTAGGCGCTTGTAGTGTTCACAGACAGTCGGACGGATGGGCGTTTTGAAATTAAAACCTTTTGTTTCAGTATCTAGAGACCCCAAATCGTGTATTTCCGTTGAAATCGCGAAATCGATTTTCGCAACATTACATAACTTTCCGTATACTGCATATATTACTGTGTATATACGTATGTATACGAGAAAGTAAAAATTACAATTTTTTTCATTTTTGAAATAAAAACTATTTGAGAAAATGGGGTTTATGTCATCTTATAGAGAACATTTAACACTATTCCTAACAAAAGTTTAAAGAAAAAATTTGACGCTGTTTTGGAGATAATCTTCTTTTTGTTATTATTTTACTATTTACATTATTACATTTTACTATTTTATTAATTACATATTGCATGCAACATTGCGCGAAAGCAAATAAAAAATTTTAAATTTATGTACAGTATCTTAATGAAAGAACTAACTATGAATAAAAAATTTACTTGAAAGAAAAATCTCCATCTTCAGTTTTGTAATGATAATAACCTCAAAAACTTTCAATGATTTGAAATTTTAGAAAATTTAGAGTTAACTGTGAAAAACGGACCTATGTCATCTCCATACGTGCATTTTACTCTATTCTTTCAAAAACAGTTAAGTCAAATTTGAAGTCATTTTGTTCAAATTAAAGTTAATAATTTCGGGGACATATCTACACATAACACAAATAATAGTTAGTTCTGAAAAAACTTAGTGGATATATAAAAATTTTAGGAAAGTGTCGCCGTGCTTAATTGCTTCATTGAAATTCCGGAGTTTCCATTACAACTTTGCCCATAAACACCTCGCAATATTATTTTAGAATCTGTCGATGTCGACAAAGGTACATAGTGAATGTTGAACTAGTTCTCTGATGTCGCTGCAGTGTCTCTGACTTTTCGACACTAGCTAGGTCGAGTTTTGTCGCTCTCTGGAGGGGAATTCTAGGGACCAGCTGCTGTGATCGGTAGTTTTCCATGATTTCTCCGATCAACACCAGGCGAATGTCGGAGCAGCACCGTAACAAACGGGCCATGGAACTCGCGCGCGATCATTCCTTTCTCTTGTATCCTCACCCTTCATTTGCCCTCATTGACTCGCAGGCACTGCACTCCCACTCGTGTCAGGAGACGAGATGGGCACTCCAGGCTTACCCTACCCCGGCTGGGGCGGTCGGCGCCCCCTCCCGCGATTAAGGCAGTCGCTGGACCACGGGACTAATGACCTGCACTTGAACTACTAACCACCCAATCATGGAACTATTCTCCAAAGCAAGGTCCGGCCATAACTCAAAAAGTAAAAGTATTTTAGGGCAACATGGTCAATATTAGTAATGTGTTTAGTTATTTTAGTAATGGATCAGTATTAGTGTAGTAATACGAGTATTCGTATTAAAACTATATCAGTTTAATTATAATTGACACAACTGAGTCGGCTAAATATTATTAAATTGATTTTATTTCATTGCTGATACTCTACAAAACAATATTTTCAGTGCAATGTAAGTATATAATGAAAGACCAACAAATTGTCTTGAAGTGCTTGGTTCTAAATATTCTGCGCCACCTCGAACTCGTTTTAGGGGTACGAAGTTAAAGGTTTCAATTCGACAGAGTAAAGAATAAATGTATCCGTTGTACAGCGTCATTTGTTCCACCTGCGCTACATTATTCGCACAAAGCGTAATGATCGGTATGGCGACTATCTCAGTAGTATTAAATTTTTGCGAAAATATAGTCAATAACTATCTAGAACGGATCCCTTCATTTACATCACTAAAACTACTAATTTCTAAATATATTCTGCAAATACTCTTGGTTTTAATATGTGTTTGACTTCCTCTTATTTAATTGTTTGCATTTACTTTGCGACAATCAGTTGCAAACATATGAATACATTTGAATTATCATAGTATATTTCATTAAAGTAATGAGTAATAATTGTTTTTGTAGTACTAACACAAGTATCTATACATCATAGTTTTGCATAATATAATTGGGAGTAGTTAGAAGACTTATTGGGGTAATTTATATTACAGTGAAACCAAGTTTGTTTCTCCTCGTTTTACATTTTATTAGTTCATTTTGTAAAACGAAAACTTTGATTGTTGTACGTTAAAACAAAACATATATCTATATAAAATATCCAACCTGGTTTCATTGTAAAGTAAATACTATTTATATATTGAAAATATATGAAGGTGTTTCACGATTTTATCTTTGACTACAACAGTTTTATTGTTAACACTGCCTTTGCTGGAATGCCCGTTGCCAGTGGCTGTGTGTGTGTGTGTGTGTCAGAGCTGGACCTGGACGCCCTGGAGCGCGGGTGGCGCGTGCGCGCGCGCCCGCCGCCGGCCGCGCTGCCGTCGCCCAGCCCCGACTCCATGGAGCTCGTCAAGCTGGTGCTGCTGGGCGCGCCGGGCGTCGGCAAGACGTCGCTCGTGCAGGTGCGCCCCCTCCCGAGCAGCGCTTCCGCACACAGAACCATGTTCGACCCGAGCCTTCATACCGGGCCTCTCGCAAGCGCCATTGGCCTTCACACGGCCCGCCTCGCGGCTGTCGGCGCCTGCAGTGGGGGTGAACAAAAGGGAAACAATTTTTCGAATTTGAAGCTCTTTTTCCAATAAAATTTTTGAGGTTTGGGGAAACTTCACTTAAAGTCATTTGCTATTTGTGGCACACAACCATAAATATATGAAAGGTTCAGCGTTTTACAATTCATTAAACTAATTTATTAGTTTTAACCTTTACTTATTGATAGCTGTGTGCTGCAGGTTGCAAATGGCTCCGTTGAAACAAAAGTCTGAATAAACTGATACGATACAACTCAGTCACATTACTCTATTAACAGTTTCGCAGGCATAAAAATCATAAACAAAAAATGAACAAATGTGATAGCATTGAAAATACATAAATTTGGGACATTGATATGGGAAAAAACTTGAATTTATTTAAAAATTATGCAGTGCACTTGAAATAATTATTTACATTATCTATTTATTCATTTTCATAATGAACAAGTAACAGCTTATAATTTCCATAGGCCACAAAAAACAAAAGATTACAATGAAGTCAAATTTGTTGAAGAATGTTGTCAATCTCCTCACATAGTAAAAATCAGACGTGTGTGTACATGAACATTTTGGAAGGAGCACGTAGGCTCATGTAATAAAAATATTTCATGCAGAGCATACTACATTAGGATATGGAATAAGATCAAGAGATCAAACTAAAACCCACTGTATTTACGCACATTATTGTTATTTTATTGAACTTGTAATTGTTACTTGCAGGTCTCTCAGTGTTCAACGAAGTTAAAATTAGTTTAGCCAAATAACAAGTTTGTAGTCAAAAAATAGTCAGAAAACAATGTAAGCATGTTTAAAGGAGAAATAATAATTACAAAAGGAAATAGCTTTTATAAATGCATTATTCATGATCGATTCTTAACGTCAAACGCAAACTATTACAAGTGTTCCAAAATTATAAAGTTTTATTTCAAAAACGCAATGTAATTAAATATTCACATGAGAGAGCTAGTTCAAATCCCTATATCTTCTGTCTGAAATTTTGTTATTGTTTAGTAGGTTAATGTTGGCTTGCATATCAATATTGTAATCCAGTATGAAATTAAACTTCCAATTATACCATATTCCAACTTTCATCCATTTAAATCATCTCTCAATCACTCATGCTTTCACATTGTTTCATTCACGCCCGTACACTCACGCTCTCATAAACACATCATCTTCTGTGCACTCCAGACTTTTGCTTACAACAGCACTTTTTATTTGCATTGAGTTGATATAGTATTCCATGCAGTTAGAAATCAACTGACCAACGTCTGTTCAACGCTGAAGGCTTGTTGAATCGGCAGAGGCAAATAATTTACAATGGACATTCTGTAACGAAATCCACTCTTACCATATTCGGCAATCTCCTATGCTCTGGTGCAGTTAAAGGATTTGATCCAACAGTCCACATCAAGGACTGCTTCGCAACTTCTGAAAACGTTACATGCCTCCGATGGTCTTTCACACTAAGAATTTGTTTTTTTAAAACTAAGCCAACCTC